AATCCTAGTCTCTGATGAAACAGACTTTAAAAAAACAAAGATCAAAAGAGACAAAGAAGGCCCTTACAAAATGGTAAAGGGATCAATTCAACAAGAAGAGGTAACTATCCTAAATATATATGCACCCAATACAGGAGCACCCAGATTCATAAAGGAAGTCCTTAGAGACCTACAAAGAGACTTAGACTCCCACACGATAATAATGGGAGCCTTTAACACCCCATTGTCAATATTAGACAGATCAACGAGACAGAAAGTTAAGAAGGATATCCAGGACTTCAACTCAGCTCTGCACCAAGCAGACTTAATAGACAGCTACAGAACTCTCCACCCAAAATCAACAGAATATACGTTCTTCTCAGCACCACATCACACTTTTTCCAAAATTGACCACATAGTTGGAAGTAAAGCACTCTTCAGAAAACGTAAAAGAAAAAAAATTATAACAAACTGTCTCTCAGACCACAGTGCAATCAAATTAGAACTCAGGATTAAGAAACTCACTCAAAACCGCACAACTACATGGAAACTGATCAACCTGCATCTCAATGACTACTGGGTAAATAATGAAATGAAGGCAGAAATAAAGATGTTCTTTGAAAACAATGAGAACAAAGACACAATATACCAGAATCTCTGGGATACGTTTAAACAGTGTGTGGAGGGAAATTTTTAGTACTAAATGCCCACAGGAGAAAGCAGGAAAGATCTAAAGTCACTACCCTAAGATCACAATTAAAAGAACTAGACAAGCAAGAGCAAACACATTCAAAAGCTAGCAGAAGGCAAGAAATAACTAAGATCAGAGCAGAACAGAGGAGATAGAGACACACACACAAAAAAAACGCTTCAAAAAATCAGTGAATCCAGGAGACGGTTTTTTGAAAAGATAAAAAAAAAAAAAAAAAAAAAAAAAAAAAACCCAAAAAACTGATAGACCATTAGCAAGACTAATAATGAAGAAAACAGAGAATAATCAAAGAGATGCAATAAAAAAAAGATACAGTGGATATCACCACCGATCCCACAGAAATACAAATTACCATCAGAGAATACTATAAACACCTCTATGCAAATAAACTAGAAAATCTAGAAGAAATGGATAAATTCCTGGAAACATACATCTTCCCAAGACTAAACCAGGAAGAATTCGAATCTCTGAATAGACCTACAACAGCCTCTGAAATTGATGCAATAATTGATAGCCTACCAACCAAAAGAAATGCAAGACAAGATGGGTTCACAACCAAATTCTACCAGAGGTACAAAAAGGAGTTGGTACCATTCCTTCTGAAACTATTCCAATCCATAGAAAAAGATGAAATCCTCCCTAACTCATGAGGTCAGCATCATCCTCATACCAAAGCATGGCAGAAACACAACAGAAAAAGAGAATTTTAGATCAATATCCCTGATGAACACCGATACAAAAATCCTCAATAAAATACTGGCAAACCTTATCCAGCAGCACATCAAAAAGTTTATCCAACACGATCAAGTTGGCTTCATCCCTTGGATGTAAGGCTGGTTCAACACATGCAAATCAATAAACTTAATCCATCATATAAACAGAACCAAAGACAATAAACACATGATTATCTCAATCGATGCAGAAAAGCCTTCAAAAAAAATTAAACAGCCCTTCATGCTAAAAACTCTCAATAAATTAGTTATTGCTGGGATGTATCTCAAAATAATAAGAACTATTTATGACAAACCCACATCCAATATCATAGTGAATGGGCAAAAACTGGAAGCATTCCCTTTGAAAACTGGCACAAGACAGGGAAGCCCTCTCTCACCACTCCTATTCAATGTAGTGTTGGAAATCCTGGCCAGGGCAATCAGACAGGAGAAAGAAATAAAGGGTATTCAACTGGAAAAGAGGAAGTCAAATTGTCCCTGTTTGAAGATGACATGATTGTATATTTAGAAAACCCCATCATCTCAGCCCAAAATCTCCTTAATCTGATAAGCTACTTCAGCAAAGTCTCAGGATACAAAATCAATGTGCAAAAATCACAAGCATTCCTATACACCAATAACAGACAAACAGAGAGCCAAATCATGAGTGAACTCCCATTCACAATTGTTTCAAAGAGAATAGAACACCTAGGAATCCAACTAACAAGGGATATGAAGGACCCCTTCAAGGAGAACCACAAACCACTGCTCAACAAAATAAAAGAGGACTCAAACAAATGGAAGAACATTCCATGCTCATGGATAAGAAGAATCAATATCATGAAAAGAATCAATATCGTGAAAGGTAATTTATAGATTCAATGCCATCCCATCAAGCTACCAATGACTTTCTTCACAAAATTGGAAACAACTACTTTAAAGTTCACATGGAACCAAAAAAAAGCCCACATTACCAAGACAATCCTAAGCAAAAAGAACAAAGCTGGAGGCATCATGCTACCTGACTTTAAACTACACTACAGGGCTATAGCAACCAAAACAGCATGATATTAGTACCAAAACAGAGAGATAGACCAATGGAACAAAACAGAGACCTCAGAAATAATACCACACATCTACAACCATCTGATCTTTGAAAAACCTGACAAAAACAAGAAATGGGGAAAGGATTCCCTATTTAATTAATAGTGCTGGGAAAACTGGCTAGCCATATGTAGAAAGCTGAAACTGGATCTCTTCCTTACACCTTATACAAAACTTAACTCAAGGTGGATTAAAGACTTAAATGTTAGACCTAAAACCATAAAAACCCTAGAAGAAAACCTAGGCAATACCATTCAGGACATAGGCATGGACAAGGACTTCAGGACTAAAACACCAAAAGCAATGGCAACAAAAGCCAAAATTGACAAATGGGATCTAATTAAACTAAAGAGCTTCTGCACAGCAAAAGAAACTACCACTAGAGTGAACAGGCAACCTATAGAATGGGGGAAAATTTTTACAATCTACCCATCTGACAAACGGCTAATATCCAGAATCCACAAAAAACTTAAACGACTTTACAAGAAATATTTCAAACAACCCCATCAAAAATTGGGCAAAGGATATGATCAGACACTTCTCAAATAAAGACATGTATGCAACTAACAGGCACATGAAAAATGCTCATCATCACTGGCCATCAGAGAAATGCAAATCAAAACCATAATGAGACGCCATCTCACACCAGTTAGAATGGCTAAAATGTCAGGAAACAGGTGCTGGAGAGGATGTAGAGAAATAGGAACGCTTTTACACTGTTGGTGGGACTGTAAACTAGTTCAACCATTGTGGAAGACTGTGTGGCGATTCCTCAAGGATCTAGAACTAGAAATACCATTTGACCCACCCATCCCATTACTGGGTATATACCCAAAGGATTCTAAATCGTGTTGCTATAAAGACACATGCACGCGTATGTTTATTGAGGCACTATTCACAATAGCAAAGACTTGGAACCAACCCAAATGTCTATCAATGATAGACTGCATTAAAAAAATGTGGCACATGTACACCACGGAATACCATGCAGCCATAAAAAAGGATGAGTTCATGTCCTTTGTAGGGACATGGATGAAGCTGGAAACCATGATTTGGAGCAAACTATCACAAGGACAGAAAACCAAACACCACATGTTCTCACTCATAGGTGGGAACTGAACAATGAGAACACTTGAACACAGGGTGGGGAGCATCACACACTGGGGCCTGTCATTGGGTTGGGGGCAGGGGGAGGGATAGCATTAGGAGAGATACCTAATGTAAATGACGAGTTAATGGGTGCAGCACACCAACATGGCACATGTATACATATGTAACAAACCTGCACGTTGTGCACATGTACCCTAGAACTTAAAGTATAATAATTAATAAATAAATACATAAATAAATATATAAATAAGAAAAAGTAAACATTTTCCACTTTATCAGACCACAAGTTGAACTGAAAAGAACTAGGAAGAGTGATAGCCTTGAAGGACTAACCCATTTTCCATATACTGCCTAACTCATTTTTGTTTGATATATAAATATTATATGATAAAGGTTATTTGAAAAATTCTATACCTTAGAGATCACCAGTGTGTAAATATATTTTTCCATATTCTGTGAGTTTAAAAACTTTATACAAGATATTGGTATGTATCTATTAATCTAAAATACTTAAATATTTTCATTATGGTCCTTGCAATTGATCTTCCTCTTTCTGCACCTTCCTTCCCCATTGAAGAAGGGTCTGCATCAACCATTCAGATTACACCAAACAAGTATCATTTTTCATATTTCAATTCTATTTCATTAAGCAACCCATCTTCCTAGGTTCTTTACTAATTAGCCACTAAACCCCAGGCTTTTCTTTACAGTTCAGGGTAAATAGGTGTAGCCTAAGATGTCCTAACTCCAAGGTAGGGGGAGGAGGAAGGGTAGAACTTGGTGAAAAAAAGAAAAAGATGCACACATGGATCAGGAGAAGAAATAGAAAGGGCCCTAGAGTCTGCCAAGAGCCCACTTTCTGGCTCACAGGTGGGAGCACAACCTTGTTAGGCAAGTCCTAGCTTGCAGACAGTATAAAATAGGAGCAGACATGAAGAAAGGAATTAATGTACTTTCCATTAAACATATCTCTTCTGCAAATGTAGTCATCCTTGATAATGTACAATTAGAGGTAGGTGGGTGTGTCACAATGAAGTCAGATAACTTTCCTATTCATCATTTTGTCAGAGCTGATAAAATTTAGAACTGACCAAGTTCTCTGTGTGTTCGTGCACTCACTGAAGGTACCAGTAGCAGTAAAACTGTCCCTGTCTCAAAATGGTAGGAAGCAGAGATTTCATAAAAGTTTTCTGAAACTGCATGCCTGAAAGGAGGAGATAGGTGTTAAATCAGCATAGAATTGTAAAACTATTTTGTACTCTTAACATGCACACTTCACTCATCCAAAATATTAGTTATGAATTATCCTAAAGAAAAAAAAAAAAGGTAGGAAAGCAGGTGGGTTGCCGTTCTGTATAAGCAGACCACACCCCATACTCTACCTGCGCCCACCACTAGGGCTGTGGGCCCACAGGCGCGGATGCAGTTCAGGAGGGAGTTGGAGCGAATGTTGGAGTTGAGAAAGGCCACCACGCAGCCCAGCTTGGCGAGGCCGAACCACACGTGAACGAAGTCCGGCTCATTGCTCATCAGTAGAGCCACGGTGTCCCCCTTTTTCAGAGAGGAATGGTTCAGGAAAACATGGGCCACTCTGCTACTCCTTTTGTCTACATCCTGATAGGTGTAGATGTCTCCCTCATAGATGATGAAAGGTTTCCGAGGTTGTCTTTTGGCATGACTCAAGAATTTATCCAGCACAGTCACCAGCTCCCCTCTCTTTTCGTACTTCTTCAGACGAATTATAACGAGCAGCACCTTCACCAGGAATAAGAAGTCATCCCAAAAGTAAGGGAACAGGAGTTTCTGCACGAAGTGCAGGACGACCATTCCAGCCCCTAGAACTGTTAGCCATGACAGAAGCATGGGGGCCACGGGACCAGAAGGCAGCTCTGATCTCAGCCCCACCAGCGTCCTTCTCTTCCAGGCACAGCTCTCCGCGGAGACCGCCGGTCCTCACTACTCAGGGCTTACACCTGAAGTTCTTGTCAGCTTTTCCGGGGCGGAACGGGGTGGGGAGGAATCCTGAGAAACAGAATCAGAGCTTTGCACTGAAAAGGTCGCCCCAAGTGGTGCTGAAGATTAATCTTGGGTCACTGGGCGGCTGGAGAGCAGGGAGCTTCCGACTCCTGCGAGAAACCAACACAGCCACCCTCAGGGGTCTCGGAATCTACGACCCCAGCGCTGCGTCCTCGCCTCCCAACCGCGACAGCGGCCCGTGCTTTGCGGGTTCTCCAGGACTTTCCAGCCCTCTTCTCTGTGAGGGCTGGGTCAGTCCTCCCCTGATTCTACGACCCTAAACAAACCTCACCACCCTCAGAAGAAGGTCCAGGGACAGAAGCTTTTCTCCTCTCAGGTAGTCTTTCCCGCGATCTTGAGTTGGAGGCTGAATTCCAGCCGAGAAAAGCTGGGGTGACGATGACTGAGAAGCGCAGTGATTTAAAGTCTCTACGCACCAGAAACCGCGCAGGGGCTCAGGACCACGCCTTGGCCCGTGGCCGCAGGGCCAGCGAGTTCCAGGACTCCTGAGCGCTGCCCGCGTCCAGCCCCGCCCAACCCCGCCCAGTCCCTCGGATGCAACGGGTCCCCGAGAACTGCTCATAGGTGACCCACACGCCCACTGGAAGGGGCTGCCCCTACCCCAGCCGCAGCTCGCACTCCGAGTGTCGTTAGGTTGGCCTAGCGTAGCTCTCCTCCGAATCGCGGCAAGAGTGTTGCCCCCCTCCTTCGGCCTCCAGGCTCAGTGCCAACCACTTCTACTGGAGTGCCGCAGCTGGAACTGCCTGGGCCCCTCCGCCAGCTCGTCCCTGGGCGCGCGTCTGGAGAAGCGTGTCGCGCCGACCTGCTCACACCCCAGGGAGGAGGCCCGCGACTGGCGTTTCTGGCGGGGAAGAATGTGACAGTCCTGTGGGGGGAAACCTAGGGATCTGGAAGGCTTGGGGTCACAGGAGAACCAGGGTTGCTAGAATTGGGCGGCGCGGGGGCCCTGGCGAGGCTGGTAAGGTAGAACAGTGTCGCACAAAAGGTCACCCATTGAACCAGTTAATAACTAGAGAATGGAAAGAAAAGAACAAACACCAAAAAGCTGCAGAGAGAGAGAGAGAGCGCGGCAGGGAGGGAGGGAGGGAAGGAATATTTATGAACTGGACAGATCCAATAATTTTTGTAATAAAGGAATATTTGGACACATCACAAAACTGTACTGTTCTTTACAAAAAGTATTTTTGGAAAACATATTGATAGGTTGGTTTTTACATTTATATTAGAACTCTGTCGTTAGAGGACCAAGACAGTGCATTTTACAAAATCTGGCAACAATATTGATTGACAGCTTCAGTCGATATTCATATTTAAAAATAAAACAAAGTTTATAATGCTATTTTCAGTCCTTAAAAATAACAGGATTCCCCCCTCCCTGAGACAGATCATTTAAAGAATTATGTCTTCAAACTAAGGATTCTAAAGGGAGTGGGGAGGTGGAGTGGAGAAGTAACAAGTTAGTGGAATGGATAACAAAATTTTATACGAAGATGAAATTGTACTAAAGATAAAAAACTAAAGAACATTTCATTACACGTATTTTTTCTAGCAGACACCATCATCCTAGCTGCCTGCTTTTAAGTGAATATAAATGGTTAATTGCATGTGTTAAAATAATTAAGGATGGCCTCAGCTTGTCAGGTGTTTCTCCCTTCTGCCTTATGTTCTGCAAATGGATTCTGGCTAACCTCAGATTCTGTAATTAAAAAAAACCTGATAATTCCAAAGATGAGCTCCAGTTTATTCATCTGAAAATGACTACTTTGAAGTCACAGTGAAGAGCTCTCTGAAAGCCAAAGGAACATAGGCTCTTAAAGCCCTTTTCTGTAAATGACAAAAAAATGCTTTCTAAATTTACTCAGAAGCTCTGATCTTTTCGATTCAGAAATATCTTTTTAATTAAGAAATAGTATCAAGTAGCTTATAACTTGCAATGTTAGTTTACAACTTGAAAAATGTCTTTGACATTCTATTGTTTTCTCTTCTAGCTTTAGTCTACTTAAGTCACCTCCAAATAACATTTAAAGAACACAAAAGAATATGGAGCAGTTGGTCTCAGACTTTTGTAGTTTTAATGAGTAAAATCTGTCCTTCTCCAGCAGAGATACAGAAAGATAGGCGTGGCATTTCTTTTATTTTGCTACATTTAAAACATTAAGCACACGTTACAACACTGACCGTCTACTGTTACCATTGTTTCATAAAGAGAGGATTTATTTCAACATTTTAAAGAAGGAAGGGAATGCCATTTATAATAGAGGACCACATTTTAAAATGAATAAAATTAAATTCACAAAAAACTCATTTTGCTACACTTATTTTTCTTATCATGGACATTCTAATACCATCCTAAGGCATGAAACTAAATTTTTAGCAATTACAGATACAATGAATTTAGAATATATTCAGCACCATAAATGTGAGCTTGTTTGATTTATTAGGAAGAACTACAAGTAAGTATATGTTGGGCCAGAATTTGTACTAACCCAAACCAATTTTATGCCTGAAATCTCACCATGGAAGAGGTAATCAATGAAAAATCTTGGGACAGTTAGCAGTATTGTGTATATACCTATATTAGCCCATGTATCTGTTTCTATTTTGTCCAGAAATTTTGCATTCACTTTCAAATGCTACCAAAGGCAGCTAAGTAAAATAAATACAATTTTTAGCTAGAATAATTAAGTATTTTGAAATGGGAGAAACACAGCGACAGTTAGTTGCAAGTGAGTAAATCTATTATTTCACTAAAATAAAGAGAAATAAACACATAGAAATAGTCTAGACATTCCTGCTAACATTACTTTTGAATAGGAACAGTGCGATATTTCTCTGGTTCTCCTTTAGCAAATATAAAGACTGTATGTTTTTCTTTAATGTAATTTGAAAATAAAAATATTGTGACTAAATGAAAATCAAAGCCAAAAAAAGTTTATTTTTAATCTACATATGGTCTCCTCAACCCCTTCTTCATTTCTGATTTGACTTTCCTCTTTAACCCACTACCGACCACCGTTGCACCCTCAGCTCTGTAGAAGACGAATTGTTTAGTGAGTAGATCAAAGTAAGACTGAACAAATAGCAACATATGACAGACATGGAGCTCACAGGATTTTGCCACTGTAGCCTAAGCATTCTGACTCTGTGCTGTCAAATCACTTGTCTTCATGTCTTCTGATGCAATTCTATAGCAGTCATCATTTGGATTATGGGAGGTTTTAGTAAAAACCAAGAAATTTAGAAAGATGCCAAACAATGCTGGGTTGGTGGCTAAACATCATGATGAGTGCTTGAAATGGGCCAAGAAACTCTGACTATCTAGACTGCAGCTGGGTCTTGGGAAAGGGGATGGCAGTGAGGTGAGTGAGGGAGTTGGATGTCTCTGAAAATGAATGGGAGAATGCTGGATGCAGGAGTCATCCACTTTACAATTCTACCTGGGAATGGGGTCCTGCTCAGTTTTTAATTACTGCTTTTAGGATCTGATGATAACTTTGGTTTTCATGGGAAGTTTACTCTTCCTATAATCTAATGTTTATTTGTATTAATGAATAATCATTGCCCAGATTATTACTCAACACAAGGACTCATGAAGCAAACTGAACATTAAAAATAAGAGGTGTGCATGGAGCCTTGCTCACTGCTAGCACAGCAGTGTGAGATCTAACTGCAAGGCAGTAGCAAGGCTAGAGGAGGGGGGTCCGCCATTGCAGAGGCTTGAGTAGGTAAAAAAGTGGCAATGAAGCTCGAACTGGGTGGAGCCCACCACAGCTCAAGGAAGCCTGCCTACCTCTGTAGACTCCACCTCTGGGGGCAGGGTACAGCTGAACAAAAGGCAGCAGACACTTCTGCAGACTTAAACGTCGCTGTCTGACAGCTTTGAAGACAGCAGTGGTTCTCCCAGCATGCAGTTTGAGATATGATAACAGACAGACTACCTCCTCAAGTGGGTCCCTGACCCCTGAGTAGCCTAACTGGGAGTCACCTCCCAGTAGGGGCTGACTGACACCTCATATGCTGGGTGCCCCTCTGAGATGAAGCTTCCAGAGAAAGGATCAGGTGGCAACATTTTCCATTCTGCAATATTTGCTGTTCTGCAGCCTCTGCTGGTGATACCCAGGCAAACAGGGTCTGGAGTGGATCTCCAGCAAACTCCAACAGACCTGCAGCTGAGGGTCTTGACTGTTAGAAGGAAAACTAACAAACAGAAAGGACATCCACACCAAACTCCATCTGTACATCACCATCATCAAAGACCAAAGGTAGATAAAATCACAAAGATGGGGAGAAACCAGAGCAGAAAAGCTGAAAATTCAAAAAATCCAAAATCTAAAAAGAAGCATCTCTTCTCCTCCAAAGGAATGCAGCTCCTCACCAGCAACAGAACAAAGCTGGGTGGAGAATAACGTTGACAAGTTGAGAGAAGGCTTCAGATGATTGGTAATAACAAACTTCTCTGAATTAAAGGAGGATGATTGAACCTATCACAAAGAAGCTAAAAACCTTGAAAAAAGATTAGACAAATGGCTAAGTAGAATAAACTGTAGAGAAGACCTTAAATGACCTGATGGAGCTGAAAACCATGGCACGAGAACTACATGACCCATGCACAAGCTTCAGTAGCCGATACAATCAAGTGGAAGAAAGGGTATCAGTGATTGAAGATCAAATGAATGAAATGAAGCCAGAAGAGAAACTTAGAGGAAAAAAAGTAAAAAGAAATGAACAAAGCCTCCAAGAAATATGGGACTATGTGAAAACACCAAATCTACACCGGATAGATGTACCTGAAAGTGACGGGGAGAATGGAACCAAGTTGGAAAACACTCTTCAGGATATTATCCAGAACTTCCCAACCTAGCAAGGCAGGCCAACATTCAAATTCAGCAAATATAGCGAATACCACAAAGATACTCCTTGAGAAGAGCAACCCCAAGACACATAATTGTCAGATTCACCAAAGTTGAAATGAAGGAAAAAATGTTAAGGGCTGCCAGAGAGAAAGGTCAGGTTGCCCACAAAGGGAAGCCCATGAGACTAACAGCAGATCTCTCAGCAGAAACTCTACAAGCCAGAAGAGAGTGGGGGCCAATATTCAACATTCTTAAAGAAAATAATTTTCAACCCAGAATTTCATATCCAGCCAAACTAAGTTTCATAAGTGAAGGAGAAATAAAATCCTTTACAGACAAGCAAATGCTGAGAGCTTTTGTAACCACAGGCCTGCCTTACAAGAGCTCCTGAAGGAAGCACTAAACATGGAAAGGATCAACTGGTACTAGCCACTGCAAAAACATGCCAAATTGTAAAGATTATCAGTGCTAGGAGGAACCTGCATCAAGTAACGAGCAAAATAACCAGCTAATATTGTAATGACAGGATCAAATTCACACATAACAAAATTAACCTTAAATGTAAATGGGCTAAATGCTCCAATTAAAAGACACAGAGTGGCAAATTGGATAGAGTCAAGACCCATCAGTGTGCTGTATTCAGGAGACTGATCTCACTTGCACAGACACACATAGGGCTCAAAATAAAGGGATGGAGAAAGACCTAGCAAGTAAATGGAAAAAAAAAAAAAGAAAAAAAAGCAGGGGTTGCAATCCTAAGTCTCTGATAAAACAAACTTTAAACCAACAAAGATCAAGAGACAAGGCCATTCCATAATGGTAAAGGGATCAATTCAACAAGAAGAGCTAACTATCCTAAATGTATATGCACCCAATACAGGAGCACCCAGATTCATAATGGAAGTCCTTAGAGACCTACAAAGAGACTTAGACTCCCACACAATAATAATGGGAGACTTTAACACCCCACTGTCA